CGCAACGTCGCAGCGACACTCCGTCCTCCCATCCATCACCAGTCAGGGGACGCGAGCGGTCGCCACGACGTCCGACAGGTACCATCATCTGAACCGTGCTGTTTTTCCGAGACCGTGTAACGACACACAGCTCCATTGTTTTTTGTTGTCTTTTTTTTGTGTCATTGTAATCACCACCACACATTGTGCATACCTTTTGGTGTACATTATTATTATTATTATTATTACTATCATTATTATTTTTTTTTAATAAATATTCATTGTGCGATCACAAAACGGGAATCGTTATTTTATTATTAATATTATAACCTCTTGGACCGTATTCTCCGCACTTGCGACCGAGCGCACCAGTATGCCGCGTCAAGTTGGCAGATTCAGTTTGTGCTAGCAGTTGGTATCGATTTGCAGTTATGAATAGTTTATTAAACCTTTTGTTTGGATCAGGATTCGGAGAACTCGGGTTGGAGGAATCTAGCAGATTCCTTTTACCGGTCTTGATTGTCCACTCTGGGCTTTGGTGGAAGTTAAACGAATCATTTTAAAAAATCGTGTCATTTGTATTTCTGGTGTCTTTGTCATGGCGAGCTTCCTGTATAGCGTTATTAGAATTATTTTTATTTTTATTTTTACCTTTTCCATTCGGCGATGTAGTTTGAGACTGCGACATATTATTTCATGGGCAAAGGTCGTGGGACCGCTGCTCGTGGCAGCGATAGCGTTACGGCTATTATATAATAAAGATTTTCGTTTTTAACGCACAGAATTTTAATTTTTAAAGTGTAAATTTACACAATTTTCGGGTTGTGAGTTTGTAAGTTTGAATCCACTTTGATTAATTGACTTTTTATTTTGTATATTTGAACATATTAAATTTGTCACATACGAACTGAAAATAAACGTGATCGAAAACAATTGACGGAGCGTAATTAGATTACGTACGTGCCCCGAACAAGGTGAAATCCGCGACTGAAAAGACACACTGACGACAATATTTGACTATTTAATTTTTTATCCGGTGATTTCGTTTGTATTGTATTTTTCCTAATTACAGCCGTACCTATTTCAAGCTGGTACGTACATTTTTATGTAAGCGTAAAATCATATTTTAATTTTTTTTTTTTTCTAAGTATTGGTCGGCTAATATTTCTGTGAAATTATGGTGGGGCGTGTAGTGGGGTCTGCAGTAGTGGTGATGGAGAGTTTGTGACGTGTGTCGTGAACGTGCTCGATCGGGCGGCGGCGGTTCAGAAAGATAAGGAGGATATGAAGGATATGCAGGATAAGGTTTCAGAACTGTCCAAATCATACTACTATTACGAAGAAGTCGCGCACATCAAAATTAATGTGTTTGTTAATATTATTTTTATTGAATTACTTTTACTTTTATTTATAAACACAAATACAAAAATGTTCCAAATTAATTTATAAATATGCATTTAACATGTTTTATAACATATACTCAAAATGGCTGCCTTGTTCATTAATGCATGCACGAACCCGTTTTACCACGTTTGTGGCCACTTTGTGCAATACGCTCACATTGATTAAGTTTATCTCCGTTGTTATGTTACTCTTCAGTTCATCCAATGTTTGTGCTCTATTTTTATAAACCCTTCCTTTAAGATAACCCCATAGGAAGAAATCTGGAGGTGTTAAATCGGGAGAACGGGGAGGCCATATCCTTTGGATATGATGCGCTCGCCAAAAACCTCGTGTAAAAAATTCATTGTTCTATTGGATGTATGACATGTGGCATTATCTTGTTGCAACCAACAATCTCCTTCATCGATTTCAAGCAACGAAATAAATTGTGTTATAATGTCTTGGTATACAACACTGTTCACCGTTGTTTCAAAGAAAATAGGGCCCACTATTCGACGACGTGATATGGCACACCAAACTCCAATTTTCTGACTGTGCAAAGGGCATGCGGATTTTCGGTGGACCAAATTCTAGAACTTTGACTATTCACATATCCACTCAGATGAAACCATGCCTGTCACTGAAAAAAACACGGTCAAGTTCTCCAATTCCATTGCTATCGATAAATGAACGAAACCATCTACAGTACACAAGGCGCTTTTCTTTATCAGGTTCTTTTAATTCATGAACACTACGAACATGATATGCATGAGATTTTAATTTCTTCGTCGCTTTTTGAGCACTACTATATGAAATTTGTGAGTGTGCTGATAGTCTTCTCAAGCTTTTTGATGGTGAACGCAGCATCATATTTCTTACATCGGCTAGTTTAGCGTCAATCAAAACGGTAGGTCTCCCGGTTCTCTTCTTGTCTGAAACTGATCCGGTTTCACGAAAACGGGCGATTAATCTCGTTATGGTTGAATTGTTAGGTACTGCTACATTTGGATATTTCACTCGAAATTCATCAACAACACAAGCATAAGAACGGCAAAATAATGTTCAACAATAAACACACGTTGGCCTTGAGAAAACGACATGGTCACAGAGAAATAATCAAAGCACTACTAAAAGCGTCGTATCAACAATACATATAATAATGACGTCTAGATTAAATGTCGAGAATACCCATTGTGTTATTTTGAAATAACCGATAAAAATTATTTATCACAACTATTATTTAGAAACATTTCTATTTTGGTGTGCGCGACTTTTCGATCACACGTTCGATTTTTTTTATACTGTGTTCAGTCTAAAAATGATTTTGCAATTAATAATTTTTTCATGACACTGCTATCCCCATCATCAATTAATTTATCATAAATTAACCCATGCATATAAATGCTCTGTAAAATAAAAATAAAATCCATTTACAATGATATCAGTTTCCATTGAAGTTGACGTTCCTGACGGTAAAAATACCGATTTTATTGTTATTTCATTTATTCTTAACGTAAAAATTAAAATATTAAAATTATGTTATTATTTAAATGATAAATGACATACAACACCAGATAAAGCATTATAATTAGATTTGTAGGAACGATTTGACCATGTGCATCCATCTACAACCACTGTAATTAATGGTACTCAATTTTTATTTACATCACCTCTTTCGATTGCCATTTTAGCTTTTTTTTTATCTGCCATTTCAATAGATTGCCACATAGTTGTTTCTATATAACCAGTGGCGGCCTGGGCACACATTACTTGGTCGGCTAAATAAAAAAGGGGCCCTCTATTTAGGTACAATTAGAAACACATAACATATTTTTTTTATACATTTATTATAAAAATTGCCTTTTTCGCTATACTAACAAGTTAAATATTTAAAATACATTTATAACATTTTAACACTCGAAAATTAATTAATAGTTAATAATAAATTATAAACAAATTATGAATATAGATGATTAATATACAAGCAATTTTTTTAATTCTGTCGATGAATGTGCATAACAAATTATTATTTCTTTTAAATCAGGAACTTTATCACTTTCAATGCTAATAAGTAATAGAGGTTCTAATAGTTCTTGACTTATTGATGATCTTAATCTTGTTTGATTATTTTTAATTTGGAAAATGATCTTTCACAATGTACTTGTGTACATGCAAGAGTTAATATAAATTTATATGCCATGTACAGATTAGTAAACGCAGCTGTATGGAAGTTATAATTGTATAATAATTTCATGACGCATGGTATACATATACTACAAGTTGAATTTTTATATTCATTTGGTTTCAGTCAATATTTAGGAACATCGGTCATTGTTTGATTTTTATATAAATTGTCATCTTCATCAGTAACTTCAGATTCTTCTGAATCGTCAAATTTGATTTCATCTTCATGTGATTTTGATACTAGATCATATGAAGCTGAAAAATTAATTAATTCTTCTTTAATTAAATCTGGTTGTAGTCCAATAATTTCACGAAAATTGTTGAAAAATTTTTCATTATTTACATCAAATGTTAAAATGTTATTTTTTATATCCATAAATCTGTTGGGATCAAAAAATGTCGCCGTCGGGCGGCGTTAACCAGAGTCGCTTGGTAAATGACGCACGTAGCTCGAGTGTCGCAAACACATCGTTTCGATAAGCGACGATAACGATTAATAGTAATGAAAAGAAAAATAATTTTTATAATACAAGGGGGGTGTTTGGTGGATATGACACCCCCCTTGAGTCGTATCATATATTACACTATTATGGGAACATAGGTAAATCGATAATACAATATGAAATATAAAATAATACACAATACTAATTACATATATACAGGTTAACATTATCGCGATTACGGCGGTAATGCGGTATTTCGATATACGCTTTCGACGATGGGGACTGCTATGTGGTAACCACGCGTCCGTGGCGACCATTCGAATATCAGTATTCGATGCTAAAATACAATACGTGAAAATTATTCGTTTATGTTTTCACGCAACACAAAACGTTTAACAATAATAGGTATTGTAGCATTGAATATTGATATTCGAATATTCGAATATACATTACATCTATATTACAGACAGTGACGTATCTTTTTTTTTCTAGAAGGTGATATAACCATAACTATTTTGTACATTTGGAGTCAAGGGGTAAATATCTTCTAGAACAGTGGTTTTCAACCTGGGGGTCGCGAATGATAGGTTTGGGGGTCGCCAAAAATAATAGATGAAATGATTTTTCCATTTTATTTAAAAATAAAATAAAGTTAATCTTTAATTTTGTTTTATATAGAGAATTGTAGATTATAGAACATGCTGAGGAGCGTATAATCTTAATTTCTTATTTATTATCTTATCGATAGCGGATATGGATTATTAAAAATTGTTCGTAACTCGTATCGCAGCGTTTCCCAAACTTTTGTTTGGGCTGGTCCGGTAATTTATATATTTCACCTTCGTGACCCACCAAAATATTTTACCTTTATAATTGTGTAATAAAAGGCAAAATAAAACACATTTGAATATCTACATAGAATTTTATAATAAAATTAAAGCATTAATTTATATTTTGAAACTACAATGTAATAATTATAATATAGTTACTAATTGTATTAGTTGACTACTATCAGTGAGAAGTATGAAGCTGTTTATTTTTAACTAGGAACTCTAAGTTCACTGGAAAGCACGTTAATTTTATTCTTAAGTCCGGTTCAACTTCCAACCGATTCCTGTATTTATTCTTCAGGAACACGAGTGTTGAAAATCCTGCTTCACACTTATAGGTCGTGACAAAAGGCATTAGAAATTTTATCGCTTGTTCTGATACAACTGGGTACTCTTGACGACAAGATAACCAAAAATCTATTAATGACCGTTCCTTATAAATGTCTTTGAGTGCTGTGTCACACGAGAGTTCAATTAATGACTCAACATTTAAGTCCGAAAAAGTTGTTTCAATATTGATTGAAAATGGGTTTCTTATCCATTCTTTGTTACTGTTTATTGGAGGAAAATATTCTTTTAGATTAGCTTCTAGTCCTTGCAAATGTTCCTGAATAACAGCTGATATATCGTGTGGCATTAAACTTATGTTATTCTCTTTTTAAAATGCTGTCAGCATTGTAAAAGCCTCGTAATTTCCTGTTTTTATGCGACGTGACCACAAATTAAGTTTTTTTGTTGCAGCTTCCACCTTCTCTCGTACTTTAAATATTGTCACATTTTCACCTTGAAGTGCCAAATTTAAATTATTCAAAAAATCAAACACATCACAAATGTAGGCTACCTTAACTAACCAATTAGCATCATGAAATCTGTCTTTAAATTCAAATATTGCATCTTTAGATGTTGGAGGATTTTGTTCTAAGAATACTGAAACTTCTTCCTTTAATTCGATTAGTCTTTTCAAGACATTCCCTCTCGATAGCCATCGTACCTCACAGTGTAAAAGAAGATATTCATGATCACTCCCCATTTCTTTGCACAAAGCAGAAAATATTCTCGAGCTTAGTGGACGAGATTTAATAAAATTTATAAATTTTACACACTCTTGCATCGTTTCAGTTAAAGACAATGGCATTTTTTTTACCGCTAATGCCTCTCTGTGAATACTACAATGAACCCATACACATTTCGGTGCTACAGCTTTTACTCTTGGAAAAAGTCCAGTACGAATACCTGACATTGCACGTGCTCCATCGCTACTCAATCCCACAAATTTTTTCCATTCAATGCCATTCTCAATAATATATCTATTGATTAAATTAAATAATTCTTCTGCTGTTGTTCTTGTTGGTAGCGATTTACAAAACAATAACTCTTCGTGAGAAGTATTTCCAAGATCATATCTTACAAAACACATTAGATTAGCATTATCCGACACGTCTGTACTTTCATCAACTTGTAAAGAAAAATATAAACACGATTTGAGGTGGCCTACTATTGTCTCTTAGATGTTATTTGCCATATCCACGATTCTACGCTTCACCGTGTTATTCGACAACGCCAACGAATTTACTTGTTTTTCCTGTTTTTTTTCGCATATTCGAGATGAAATTATTTTCATTGCCGGAAGTATTAATTTTTCACCGACTGTGTGTGGATAACCCGTTTCAGCAATTAATTTTGATATTTCATAAGAAGCCAATACAAGGTTTTCAGTTTGAGGACTAAGTGAAAACATTGAAGTCATATTTTTTTTGGCACTTTTTAATTGTCTTCTCCTGTTAATGAAAAAATCTATAGGCTTTTCTTTGTATTCAGGATGCTTCAATTCTAAATGCCTGTTCAACTTTGAAGGCTTCATGGAATCGTTTGAAAGTTCTGCATTACATATTACACATAATGGTTTGTTATCATCGCCCTCGATGAAGCCAAATTTAATGTAATTTTCAAAATACTGTCGAGTCCATGCCCCCTTTTTTTTCGTAAGAAAATTACTTTACATCGGACGACCATTTATTAGACCCAATATTAGAACTTGTACTTACATCACTCGACTCTTGGTTGGTGTTTCTTATGGAACCGGTACTTGGTTTTATTAACCACTTATCCATTATAAATAAACGTGAGGAAATAAGACGCGTATACGTATTACAATTTTAATAACTCGTCGTAGACGTGCGTCATTAGACATCAAGGTTCAAACTGAAATAAATATTTAGCCATCACTATAATAAGCCTATATCGGTAATTCATTTGTAGATAACGGATAACGGATTAGTGCCGTAACAACCAACGACGCTTGTCATTTATTTGTTACTATTATAATGTATTTATAGATACGGCGAATGTCTATTCGGGTTTTTCATGAAGCCTAGTTGATAATCTCAATAATTATTATTTATGTTGTAAATAATAGTTATTCGTATTAATGAATTAATTTTTACTTAAAAGTTTAAATTATCAAACGAAAATGTTAAATATCAAATTTAATATGAGAATTTCATTAAATTTTGCTACCCGGTATTACATTTTTTATGGCCCGGTAGTGGGTCGCGACCCGGTATTTGGGAAACGCTGTCGTATCGTATACATAGATATATTTGAACAATTTCAGTCGCAAATATTTATAATAATCAGTTCCTACTTAGGTGTCATTCGTGCAGTTCATGTATCTCACGCGATATAAAGTACGTTACTATACTGTTTTAAAATGGAAAAATTTTTAATTAAACGCGCAAGTACAAGTGCAAGTGCAAGTGAAAATAAAAAACGTAAACTGTCGGAAACAACAACGTACCAGCCTATCAACGAGGAATTGGAAGAAAAAAAAACTTTAAATGTTGAGAACCAAAAAAAAGAACGTAAATATCAAGATCAGTATATACAATTTGGATTTACTTTTATTGAAGAAAAAGGTAAACATCGTCCTAAGTGTGTTATATGTTTAGAAATATTGGCTTCCGAAAGTATGAAACCCTCTAAACTTAAACGACATTTAGAAACGAAACATCCGCAATATAGTAATAAAGATGAACAATTTTTTAAAAGACATGAAAATGCATTAAAGGTTCAAAAAAAAGTTATAAATAAATTTTCTACAGTTTCACAAAAAGCTTTAGTTGCATCATTCAAGGTTTCATACTTAATAACAAAAACAAAAAAACCGCATTCGATTGGCGAATCTCTTGTCTTGCCAGCTGCTATAAAAATTGTAACGGCTATGCACGGTGAAAAATTTTTTGTTTACATTTTTGAAAAATTAAATAATTTAAATTTAAGTCTTCAAGGTAAAAATACAAATATATTCTCTCCGATAAAATCGATGCTTTCAAAAAAAAAAATAAGTTTATGGATAAATTATATTAATAATGAAAACTTCGAAATGTTTTCATGTTTTTCAGAATTTATTGCTGACGATGAAATATTTGATATTAAAAAAATAAAAGACATAATATTACTTCATCTCGAAAATTTGAAAAACCATTTTAACACACGGTTTGAAAAGTTTCCAGAAAAAAAGTTGGGATGGATAAGAAATCCATTTATTTTATTAATATAAATGAAATGAATTCTGAATTAAGTTTAGTTATGAACGAGGAATCAATTGAGTTATCTGCCGATGAAAATCTGCGTATAAAATTTAATGAAACTACAAGTGACAAATTTTGGATTTCTATAAAATTAGAATACCCAGAATTGTCAAAAGTAGCTGTATCAACACTTCTGCCATTTGCAACCACTTAGCTTTGTGAAACGACGTTTTCAGCTCTTACAGTTATAAAAAAAAAATATCGGACAAAATTTAACTTAGAATCAGATCTAAGAGTTGCAGTCTCTAATATAAAACCTAAAATGGAAACAATCATTTCAAAAGCTCAAGCTCAAGTATCCCATTAACAACAGTTTATGTATTATGTATTTTTTTTATATTTAAATTTATTGTATATGCTTGTATTGTTTTAAAATAATGTTGTATTATGAATTAATTAAATTTTTAAGTGTAAATTAATCAAAATCGTATAACAAATAAATATGTTTTCAGTAATTAAATCAAATTTTGATGAATAAAACAACAATTTTATTTGAAGGGGGTCGCAGTAGAAAAAAATAAAAATGGGGGGTCGCGACACAAAAAAGGTTGAAAACCACTGTTCTAGAAGGATCTTGTTATCATACTTTTCCTGTTTCCGTAAAGTACACTTTTATATAACATGATTTTATTTAAAACTATACCAACATTAATAATATTTTTACATTTATTTTCATAATAAGTATAAGTCAAAACACAAAATAATATCAAAATAATGTCAAAATTCTGTTCACCGATCGGTTAATTTTAAACGAGACACGATTACACAAAAGGACTGAGAGCAAATGTGAACACTGAACACATGGTTTACGCACTATCGTTAATATAGTATAAATTAAATAATCACAGATATGATTGATTAATATATATATATATATATATAAAATAACCATGAAAATTAAGATATTAAACTATAATAATAATAATAATTCATCATAATTATCTAATGTTCATGATTTTCTTGAAACTAATAATAATTATATTGTCTACAACTGTCTATGTTTATTATTAACTTCTATTGATAACGGACTGATGGAATACTAAGAAATACTAAGAATCCAATATGGACTTACGGCTCAAGCATTTAAAAGAAAAATAAGGAAAGTGAAATGAATAAAAAAAAAAATAAGAGTATCTACACTACATACAGATACATCGGTACATGTGTAGCGGCCTAACAAATAAAATTGCGACAAAATTATTATTGTTCACCGGCCGAACATCGATTACGCAACGTCGACGTGCACGACAAC